CCCTGCTTCCATCCCGAACCTTTGGGAACCCTGAGCACCAATCCGTTACCATGACTCCCATTACCCAGATAAAGTGCAATGGGGCCTTGCCAGGCTTGGCCCCCAAATTCTCCACATCGTCTTTTGGGGAGTGTGGCTCCATATGGGGCTCCTGAGCAGAGGTGGAAGTAGTACTGTCCCCTGGCTGAGATGCCAAGACCCTGCCCCAGTCAGCAGGTCAGCAACAAGAAGGACGGCTAACAGACCTGGAGGTGCTATGGGGGCAGGTCAGTCATAACGCATTTAATGGAGGGTGGATGACTGCACAGAAGAGCAGGTTTCATCCAACCTTCGGGGATTCTCTGTGGGGTATGGGCCTCACCATGGTGGAGCCGAGCAGAGCCTCCAGAGACATGTGGCTGTGGTGGAGCTGCCCCAGGACCATGGGGTTGGCAGAGAACGCAGATCAGGGTCCAGTGTCCTTGTCCTTGTTGGCAGAGGGAGGGCAGAGGCTGACCTGGGGTTTGTCTCTGCCAGATAGCGGTTCCTCCTCTTCCTGGTGGGGGCCCAAGGTGTTGGCCACCTTGTCTTGCAAAGGGGAGGCCATAAGAGGATCCACGCAGAAGCTGGTCACTATCGCCCATTTCACAAGCCAGGACAACCATGGGCTGCCTCCCTGTTTACCCATTTGGAGGAGTGCAGCCCGAGGGTTGGGTTTGGCTCTATCACCACCAACTCCACGTTGGCACAAGGAGGAAACCCCTCGCTACGGGTGGGTCACCCGTGGTCGGTAGCCCTGACCCATGCCCCTCCACCTCCCACACCCCTCTGCCCTTGTTGGACCAGATGGATGGGTTATATTTGAGTTTCACGTCGGGATTGTTTGCTCCAGGGTCCCAGCTTTATCATGCACAGGAAAATCAACAAAGGCCAGGACTGACCCCAAACACACGCTTCACTCTTTCTCCCCACTTTCCTGCGGGTGTGCAGAGTCCAGACTTTCTTCATGCACCCCCTCCAGCCCAGTCCAGTGAAGGAAGCCTTTCTGGCCTGGCTCACTCCACCAGATCCCCACATCCTACTTGGCTTCTGAATTTGCCTCGCTCAGCACCAGGGCATGACCTACAAGTGGAAGGGGAGAGGAGGTCATCTCAGGTCAGGCCCAGGGGATTGGGTGTCAGAGTTTGGGCACCTGGAGACCAGCTCCCAGCCTGCCAGCACTGCCTATAATTAGCTGGGTTCGGTCAGGGACGGGGCCCCGGGGGCGCGTTCCCTCTGCCACACTGTCAGGAGTAGAGCAGGCTCAAGTGAGAGGGCAAGCGGAAGGCTGGTGTCTTAGGAGGGTGACTACTGGCATGGGGGCAAGACGGGCAGGGTACAGTTCCGGGTACTGGATTTTTACACATAGATCTTGCGTGCTTTGCTGCACCTGGGGAACCTCAGAGTCGCGCGGTGTGGCCTACACGCTCGAGCCCTGGGATGGGGGGAGGGGGTTGAGGTAGGAAGAGGGACTGACATGTCGCCGGACTGGAGGCAGGGCTTCCTCTGGCCTCTGTGGGTCCAGCTCCTACCCTCTCTTCTCTTTCCTCTGCTTACCTGCAGCAATCCAGTGAGCTTGGGCCATGAGCGTCTCGGACTCGGCACATCGTCCCTCAGACCCTGAACAAGTCTCTCTTCCGGTCCAGAAGGACGGGCTTGGCCTCCCTTTGCCCACCAGGGGAACCCCCTCCTGGCCTCCGTCCCCGGACCAGGATCCTGGTTTGCCCCCCTTTCCTCTGGAAGAGCCTGGCCCCAGGCCCATGGCCCCAGAGAGCCTTCCCTCTCCAGCCTTGTCCCTAGAGAAAGAAGAGGAGGAGGAAGAGGATGAGGATGAGGACGGAGAAGATGCAGAGGAGCCCGAGGAGCTGCGCAGCGAGGCGCATCCCAGCCAGTTTTTCGCGGAGGCACAGCGGCTGCGAGAGCAGAGGTTGTTGCTGGATGAAGACGTGTCAGTCGGGGGGCGAGTATACGGGGTGCATCGGGTGATCTTGGCCGCAGTCAGCAGCCTCTTCAGAGGCAGGCTGCAGGGCAGCAGAGGTCTGCAACGCCCCCTCAACCTGGATGTAACCCCCGGGGCCTGGGAGGCCATGCTGACCTTTGCCTATGAGGGGGTGCTGGGACCCGCCCCACGGGAGGATGTGCTGGTCGCGGCTGAAGCCCTGGGCGCACCCCGGGTGAAGGCTGCAGCCCAGTGGGGACGTGAGGGGGCTGGAAGCACCCGGGAAGATGAAAAGCAGCCCAGCCAGGCAGAGGAACTGAGAGAGAACCTGCGCACCATGGAGCTCCTGTACCAAGAAGGCATCGGGTGTGACCTGGAGCTGGAGGCAGGCGGCTGCCGGCTGCGGGGTGAGCGTCTGTGGGGCATTACATTAATATAGGCGCATATGCCACCTGAAATGGTGTGTGCAAGCAGCGGGTGGTTCGGTCCCTACCCTAGTGGTTTTGATCCCTGCTGCAGTCAGAATTTCCCCAGGGTGACCTTTGGCCCCTCTCCTGACCCACTGAGAATGGAGCATGCGCAGTTGGGTTGTTTTCTTAAGAGCACTGACAGATTTATGCTGTGGCTTTCCCTGCGCCCAGAAACAAGAAATTTACAGTCAGCTGGCTGGAGCTAAGGGTATATAGTCCATGCCAGTAGAACAAGCAGGAGGTGATTGACTCAAACAAAGATTAACCAAAGGCCCTTCTTGGCATCTTCTATTTAGGACACAGGAAAAGCCAGAGGAACACAGTGGAAAAATTCAGTGTGTCCTTTCCCCTAAGTGAGCTTGACACCATGGCAGACGTGGACCGTACAGCTAGTGAGCAAGGTCTGGTACTGTTTGGCCAGAATCTTAAGGCTACCAGTTCATGGCACTTTGAAGTTAACTCTGCTCATCACCAGGAAAGCTGAAGAGGGTTGAATAAGTTGAGATTTATTCAGATTCTACTAACACTTAAGTGAGGTGCTGGGTACCAGGAATTTCTTTTACACATGCCATCTCTTTCCATCTCACTGAAAACTAGTCAGTTAGATATCATTATCCCTGGGTGCAGATAAAGAATATTAAATTCAGAGATGTTAACAGGTGAAAACCAGGATACAGGCCCACATCCACTAACGCAGTCTGCTCTCACTAGGCCATGCATTGCCTCCTATGCAGTCAAGTCAAAGACACATAGCACCTGGCAAATGGAGTCAGAGTGCAGACACATAAAAGTTTAACATTAAAAGGGATTTGTTTAGATATTATCTAGTTCAGCTCTTACATTTTATTGATAAGGAAATCAGTCTTTAAGACAAGTCCAAAGTCACATAGCTACTGCTCATTGGAGGAATGACTGGGACCCAAAGTGCTTCTGGGACTCCTTAAAGGAAAAGGATCCTATCTTAGTCAGCTTGGGCTGCTATAACAAAAATACCATAGACTGGGTGGTTTAACAATAGAAATTTATTTCTCATGGCTCTGGAGGCTGCATCAGGGTGTCAGCAAGGTCAGGTTCTGGTTAGGGCCCTCTTTTTGGTTTGTAGATGGCCACCTTCTCTCTGTATCTTCACATAGCAGAGAGAGAGGGAGATCATCTCTCTCATGTCTCCTCTTATAAGGGCACTAATCCTATTCATGAGGGTTTCTACTCTCATACATAATTACCTCCCAAAGGCCCCACCTACAGATACTATCACGTTGGAGATCAGGGCTTCAACATATGAATTTGGTGGGGGCGGGGAACACAAACACTCAGTCCATAACAGACTTCTAAAGTGTTTGTTGTCATTTCCAATAGCACTAGATGGAGGGGGAATTTAAAATTTCATAGTTATAAAATTCTCACGAGGGTTTGGAATTTAAACATCCTTGTATTCAATATCACTGCTTTCACTTCCTTTAAGAAACATTCCAACTTAGTGGTGGAAACCTGTCACTTAAAATTCTAAGGAATAATGATGAGTGAGAAGGGGCACAAAATACAAGTGGTTGTGAATCCTTTGTCAGTGGCTCTGAGCTATAGGCTGATTGATGGTATGGAAGATGAGATGGCTTACCTGCTTTATGGAATGCAGATTTTCTCAGGCAATATGGAAGCTGTCACTAATGTTTACTGCTTGGGAAGCACCAAGCTACTACCTACTGCTCAAAAAAGACAGTGGAAAGCCACGCCGATATCACCTGCCCTTTGAGAGAGGTGAACATGCTGCAACTGATCAAAGCAGCCTGAGGTTCATCAGCCTCACCAGGAGCTTGGGTCTGTGTGACCAGCCTGAGAGGACTTCTAGCAGCATTTCCCCTCTTTTTTTGTAATTAATTAATTAATTAATTAATTAATGTTTGGCTGTGTTGGGTCTTCGTTGCTGTGCGCAGGCTTTCTCTAGTTGCAGCGGGTGGGGCTACTCTTTGTTGTGGTGCGGGGGCTTCTCATTGCGGTGGCTTCTCGTGTTGTGGAGCACGGGCTCTAGGTGCACGGGCTTCAGTAGTTGTGGCACACAGGCTCAGTAGTTGTGGCGCATGGGCTTAGTTGCTCCGTGGCATGTGGGATCTTCCTGGACCAGGGACTGAACCCGTGTCTCCTGCATTGGCAGGAGGATTATTAACTACTGCACCACCAGGGAAGTCCTCCTCTCTTTTCTGTTATGAAGCATTTCAAACATAGCAAAGAAAAGAGAATATTAAGATGAACACTCAAACACCCATCACCCAGACTTAACAATTAACATTTTACTATATTTGTTTCATTTCTTTATTTATTTTTTGCTGAAGTTTAAAGTAAATGTCAGACATTTCACTCACAAATACTTGGGTATGTGTCTCTCTAAAAGAGGACATTTTCTCATGTAACCACAATTTCTTTATCATATCTAACAAAATTAACAATGATTTCTTAATATAGCATAGTCCACATTGAAATTTTCCCACTTGTCCAAAAAAGTGTCTTTTAGAGCTGCTCTGTTCAACCCAGGAGCCAATCAAGGTTTGCACTGAACTCAGATATATGTCTCTTACACTTCCTTTACTCTCGTACAGTCCTCTCTCTCTTTTTTATGACTTATTGAAGAAACAAGATTAGTTGTCCTACAGAGTGCTCCATGTTCTAGATTTGTAAGCATTTTCCCTCATGGTTTTGTTTAACTCATTCTTTTAGCCTCTCAATTTCCTATAAATTTGAATTTAGATCTGAAGGTTTGATTAGATTTCGGTTAAATATTTTAGTAAGGGTACTCCATACTTGATGCCAACTGCCTCAAATTGAGTTACATTAGGGAGCATATAAGGTCTAGTTATTTTATTTTATTGTTTTTGCGGTATGCGGGCCCCTCACCGCTGTGGCCTCTCCCACTGCGGAGCACAGGCTCCGGACGCGCAGGCCCAGTGGCCACGGCCCACGGGCCCAGCCGCTCTGCGGCATGCAGGATCCTCCCGGACCAGGGCACGAACCCCTGTCCCCTGCATTAGCAGGCGGAATCTCAACCACTGCGCCACCAGAGAAGCCCAGGTCTAGTTATTTAATAGCATTTTTGAATAGGATATTTTCAGAGTCACGAGGGCCATGCAGATAAGCAGGGAACTGATACACAAGTATACTCATTGCAGCCTGACATCATTACCGTGATCTGCCCAGCCAGCCACTGCATGGAGATAGAAAATAAATCACTCCCTTTCACTAGGACTCAGTTTCCATATCTTAAAAGGAGCAACTGAAGTAGGTGATTTTGAAGGCTTCCAGTTTACAAGCACTAAATCTTGGGTAAGAGGAGATGGCAGTTAGATGAGTGTGGGTCACAACCATTCCTGAGTGTGGTACCACTTTCTGAGTAAAATCTGACACTAGCAGAATGGCTGATGTCAGTGGCTCTTATCATTGTAGAGGAAAGAACTTTATTCTGTGCACAATATAGAAAGACCTATATAAGTTGCACATCGGTCTTTGCAGTTCATCTTGTACCCCCTCTTAGCAAATGTTCTCTGTAGCATCTTCACTTGATTGATCAAGACCCTTTCTCTAATTGGCCTGCATCAAGAAGACTAAAGCAATGTTTTTCAGTGTCTTCAGGCCACTAACATGAGAATCATGCAGGGTGCTTGAATATGTTAAAACACAAATTCCTAGGGTCTCCGTCTAGAGCTACTGAATCAGAATCTCTGGAGGTAGGTCCGTGAAACCTTCACTGTAACAAGCACCCCACGTGGTTCTGGTGCATATACCGCAGTTTGGCCTGTGGTCTTGGGTGGTTGGCCCAAAGTTGGGGCTGTGAAGTCAGGGGCGTGCCTCGCAGTTTGCAACACTCTGGGTCCTCCTCTGCTTCTCCCTCTTGCAGTGCACCGAGCAGCCCTCGCCTGTGGCAGTGAGTTCTTTGGGGCCATGCTCCTGAGCGGGATGAGGGAATCCCAGGGCACAGAGGTGTCTCTGCATACCATCTCTGCCCAGGACCTGCGACTCCTTGTCTCCTTTGCCTATTCTGGGGTTGTGCGGGCAAGGTGGCCAGGACTGCTGAGAGCCACCCAGGCTGCTCTGCGGTACCAGAGCTCTTCCTGCCTGGCTCTGTGCCAGAGAGCCTTGGCACAAGGCCTCAACCCTGCCCGTTGCCTGGCCCTGATCCCCATGGCTGAAGCCCCTGGGCTGGAGAGGCTCTGGAGCAAAGCCCGTCACTACCTCCTCACCCACCTGCCTGCTGTGGCTTTGTGCTCCACTTTCCCATCTTTACCGGTCGCCTGCCTGGCTGAGCTCCTGGACAGCGATGAGCTACACTTGCAGGAGGAGTTCGAGGCCTTTGCAGCTGTACTGCGTTGGCTAGCTGCCAACCCTGACACCCAGGAGTCAGAGGCCAAGGCCCTGCTTCGATGTGTCCGCTTTGGCCGTATGTCCACCAGGGAGCTGCGGAGGGTATGGGCGGCCAGGCTGCCTCCACCCTTGAGCCCGGACTTGCTGCGTCAGCTGATGGTGGAGGCTGAGGTTCCAGGACAAGAGAGGCGGAGGGAGCCTGACCAGGCACTAGTAGTGATTGGTGGGGACGGGCTCAGATCAGACATGGCCACGAGACAGCCGTCCCGAGGAGTGTGGTGGGCCCGGGCCTTCCGCTGTGGCGTAGGACTGGTTCGAACTGTGGAGTGGGGACGGCTGCCTGCCCTGCCTGCCCCCGGGCGCTTTCGGCATGGGGCTGCGAGCCTAGCTGGAAGTGAGCTCTACGTGTGTGGTGGACAGGATTTCTACGGCCACTCTAACACCCTGGCTTCGACTCTCAGGTATGGGCCCCTGAGAGCGGCCGGTCCCAAGATGGGCATCTGCGGGAGGTTGGCAGCCCAGCCAACCGCAGACTCCCAGGGTCACTCTTCCCATCTCTTGTCCTACTGTGTCCAGGTGGGACCCCAGGCAAGAGGACTGGGAGGAGATGGCACCTTTGTGCCAGGCTCGGAGCTTTTTCCCCCTGGTGGTGCTGGATGGACTGCTTTATGCCCTGGGTGGACGAGACAGTGGTGTTGCCCTCAGCTCTGTGGAGACCTATAGCCCCAAGCTCAATATCTGGAGGTGAGCAGGGAAGGGGGTGTTTCAGGCATCAGGGAGAGGCTAGGAGTCTTGGAAGAGGAGAACTGAAGATGACTGTTGCCTGATCACGTGCCCTGTTCTCCCACAGGCCGGCACCTGCTCTTCCAGCACCACGCTTTGCCCACGCAGCTGCTGTTTTGGAGGGCCAGCTGTACGTGAGCGGCGGCTGCAGCGGGACTGGCCAGTACCTGGCCTCGTTGCTGCACTATGACCCCAAACTTGAGAAGCCGGGGACACTTCTGAGCCCTATGGGGGTACCTCGGGCTGGCCACGTCATGGCTGCTCTGGGTGGGCAGCTGTATGTAGCGGGTGGGCTAGGTGAGACTGGGGACCTGCTGAGCTTTGAGGCCTATGAACCAAGGACTGATAGCTGGACTCACCTGACCCCCCTGCCCTCGCCCCATGTCGGGGCTGCAGGCGCTGTGCTGCAGGGGGAGCTACTGGTGCTGGGGGGCTACAGCCACCGTACTTATGCCCCCTCCCACCTTATCCACGCCTTCTGTCCTGGCCTGGGCCGATGGCTGTGCCTGGGAACTCTGCCGAGGCCTCGGGCTGAGATGCCTGCCTGCATCCTGACACTGCCCACCGTGGAGCAAATAGCTTTGGTTCCCACACGGCACCAAACTAAACCTGCCGGGTGAAGGGGGAGTGGCGGTGGATGGCGTGAGGAAGGGATAAGAAACATTTTGAGAGGATAGAAATGATGGGGGCAGGGATAAAGAGAAGGCTTTATTCATGATCATATTTCATTCTAGCACAGTGCTTTACAACTCACACAGCGCTTTTGTATGTATGATCTGCATTGAGGAAAAGGTGGTTCTGGAATTCCTAGGAAAAGAGTGTTGGGGAAGGAGAGGCAGCTGAATACCTAGGTAAGGAGAGGAGACCCAGGGGCAACTGTACAAGGTTTAGATTCTTGGTGGGGAAAGTGCATCTGGTGGGGCAGACAGTCAAGACGTGTCAATAGCCAAGGTGTAGGGGCCATGAGAGGTCAGTTGGGAAAACGACGTTCTGATCAATGGACGAAGGAGAAAAACGTGGAGAGGCCATCCGTGAAAGAGCTGAGGGGTGTGGGGGAAGGACTGCGATTGCTGCTTCTCTTTACTCTCCAATCCCTGGGACACCCAAACCCTCCTAAAAGGTTCTTTCTCAGGTAAACTTGTAGACCCAGTCTAGAGTTTCCTCAGCCATACACCACAGGCTGCCCCTAAGAGCCTTTTGGTTTTCAATCTGAGGAGGACGCTCCTGTCTGGACCCGGCACAGCGCAGGGGCCCGAGATGCCAGGGCGACGAGGTGGGAGTGCTGCAGGCGGGGACGATGAGGAGGGGAAGGAGGGAGACGCCCATGGTGGCAAAGGGATGAAACAGGATTTGAGGGCATGGGGTGGGAGAAGTCAGGAGCCTGGCTGGCTTCTTTCCTTCCCTTTGGGCTGAATCGAGGGATCAGGAGAGAAAACAGTACAGTGTGGTGTGAGGTCCTAAGTTGTGAGAGGAAGTGGCAGAGAGAAGAGTGAGAGACAGAAGAGGCCCAGAAAAGTGGTTTCCTCCTCTGTCCCTTTCTTCCAGTTTTTTTTGAATCCATTTCCCTTTTTCTTGGCCAGGGAAAGTTGAGTCAGATGTTTCCTCTCTCTCTTCCTCCACCCTGCTTTTCCTTCCCTTTTTTTGCTCTCTTCTATCTTTTCTCCTTTCTCCCTCACAGTTATTAATTATCTACTGTGTGCCGGGTACGATGTGGGGCACTAAGGATCCCAAGGTCAGGGAGCTCCCGACCAGCACACAGACTTGTAAGCAAATACAAGTTTGACAGTGGACTTAGAGGTATGGACACTTGCCTCATACCTCTCCCGAGAGCCGCGTACCTCACATGCCTCGTAGTTGAAGGTATGAGAGCCCAGAGGATGGAGGAGGGAACTCTGTCCAGGGAAGACTTCTGTTAGGAAGGCATCATCAGATGGGTGTAGAATGAACTGGATCTTGAAGGCTTCCTGGAAACTCACCAGTCAGAGAAGGAGGGAGGCATTCCAGTCAGAAGAAAGAAGTGAATGGGGCATGTGGTGCCCTGTGTCTCCATAGCAAAGGGGAAGTCAGTATTCCAGGGATTCTTCAGAGAGTTCTGCTGCTGTGCCAGCCTACTCTCTTCCCTGGAGCCTTCCTGAAGACAGTGGCTTTCACCTAATTGTATGTTCTCTTCCTCCACAACTCCCCTACGTCTTTCCTGTCTGGTATTTCCACTTCTGACCCCTGAGCAGCTTAAGGCAAAGAAGGGCCACTTCTTTGTACAGGTCAATTTTCTCTTACCCTTGCTGATTTAGATTCTCATGCTGCTAAGGGTGAGATGAGGGAGCCTCCCTCGCATCTTTCTTCATCCCGGCCAGGAGAGACTTGACGTGTTTTTGTTTATTGTTTTGAGATTTCATTATTTTATTCAGGTTTCTTTCTATATCTCTGTTTAGGAACATAGTTGAAAACGAGGAGGGGTAAGTAGGCTATAAAGAGAACAGAGAAGAAAGACTGAGGAAGACAGGGAAGAAGGAAATCGGAAACACTGGGAAACTACGAGGATTGAGTCTTTAGGGTGAACTTCTGTGAACACGCTCTGTGTGTGATTCGTATGCAAAGACAGGCTTAAATAAAGGTTTCACCATGACTGAATCATTCTTGTCTGAGTTTCTCTATTGTAAAAAACATTCAATATCCCTTGTAATTTGGCTTCTGTCTCCACCACACTACTGAAACCATCCTCCTTCATTGTCACCATGACCTACTTCTCACCAAATCAAACAATCTAAGGCCATTCTCATTTTCCTTCATCTTTCTGCAGGAATTGGCTGGCTTGAAAATTGACTTTCACCCTAAAAATTTCTCCTTCCCTGGCTCCAGAGATAGCACACTCTCCTACTCTTCTTACTTCTCCAATCCAAAGAGGTGGCAGAAAGTCAAATCATAGTGTCCAAGAGCGGGTGGTGCCATCCCAGGCAGAGCTGACAGCCAAAGGTCCAAAATTATGTAGATGGGGGAGTTAGCTGCAGAAGGCTCTAGCTTTCATTACTTAGTTTTTTTGTTTGTTTTTTGTTTTTGGCTGCACCCCACGGCATGCAAAACCCGTGCCCCCTGCAGGGGAAGCACAGAGTCTTAACCACTGGACCACGAGGGAAGTCTATTTTTGAAATTGTGGTTAGAATTAGAAGAGAGGAGGAGGTTTCTGATGTGAAGCGGGACACTGGTCTTGCTCTTGGACCACTCTTCAGTGAGAGGGGCCTGATACAGGCAAGGCAACGAGCTGGGGCCCTGGGCAAGTGCACTGAGATTCAGGGTAGTATTTCGACCCCAGAAAGGAAATAGAGTAAGGATCAGGAATTGGGACAGAAATCATTCCTACAGAGCAGGCAATCATGGCAATCCAAGGATTAGGCTACAGTCTGGTGAGTTCCTAGAGATGTAGGATTCTTACCTTTGGTAAATCAGATAATGAACCAAGGTGTTGTAGGTACTCCCCTACTACCTGCCCCCACTCTTCCTTCAACTCTTCCTTTGTGGGTGAGGATGGAATTTACACACCTGCGCTCATCTTCTCCAGGTCAACTCAGGAACTGGATAGAACTGGGGGTGTAGGTTCAATACCAATAAGTGTGTTGGACTATATGAGTCTCCTATGCCTGATTCTGGGTTGCCCATGTGCTTCTCTTACTTTGCTTCATGATCCTCTTCAGAAAGCTCACCTCTCCTCTATCCCAAAGCCTTAATGACTCAACTGGGTTCTAGTCATATTATTATTATGTGTTTTTTTTTTCTTTTTTTTTTTTGCGGTCCGCGGGCCTCTCACTGTTGTGGCCTCTCCCGTTGCGGAGCACAGG